CGCGAGCACGCGTGACACACGCACTCCCGCCCGTCCCTCGGCCGCTCTCGCGTTCTCTCGGCGCGGAGGGTGAGACGCCGGCCGGGGGGAATGGTGCGGGGGGGGGACGGTAGGGGCGTGTGGAGGAGAGAGGGAGAGAGCGCGAGGGAGGGGGAGGGGGAGGGGGAGGGGGAGGGGGAGAGAGGGGGAGAGAGGGGGGGAGGGAGGGGGGGGGCGCGGGCGAGAGAGGGGGGAGAGAGTGGCCAGGGGGTGCGCGGGCACAGAGGGGACAGGAGGAAGGAGAGAGACGGAGGGAGAGAGCGACGTGCTACGACATGTGTCCGTGCTGAAGTATCGTGTATCCCCGACCCGTGTGCCGACGTACGAGGGTGCGCCTTGAGGCAAGGGTGACCGGCTCTCCGCGCGGGAGAGGGGGCACGGGTGAGAGACGGACGGGGAGAAGGATAGAGGGAAAAATTGTCGTCGTCCCCTTCGTGCCGTTCCTTCTTCGGGGGCTCTCTCTCTCTCGCGCGCGCCGCCGTCGTCTACGCGGGACCACCGATGCAGACCTTACGGAAAAAAAACAGTCCGTGCAAGTGTGAGTAAGAGGGAGATTTTCCCGACCCGGCGGCCTCCCCATGTGCGTGCGCGCGTTCCTCTCCCGTTCACCGCCGCGTTTCATAAGTCGCCCCGCGACTCCGGGGCAGTTTTCCGCGTCTTCGCCGTCGTCCCCGTTGGCGAGTCCGACGGGTGCCTCCAGCGGCCACCCCGTAGATCCGTTAGGGGTAGTTAGGGGCGCCCCGCGTAATATGGCCTCCTCGTGCTACCCGTGGGTGCTCGCGGAGAACCGGGCAGGCGATCCCGCGCGATCGGTCGAGCGGACGACGTCTCGAGGGACGCGAAGGCGCCGCGGGAGACGAAATCGCGCTAATTCCCCGACGTCTCTCGCGAGGAACCGGAAGTAACCCTTTCGGCTCCTCGCGCGTTTACCGACCGATAGGCGACCCGGCGCTATCGCGCCCGCCGCATGACAGATGTCGACGGCTGTACCGCGCTCGAGATTACTACTGAACCTTTTTACAGAAGGCAGCGCGAAAACGCGCTTATCCCTTTATTCGATTAAGCGCTAATTGGCGGCAATTAAAATCGTAAAAGAATGCCGCGGGGAACGGGGGGGGCGATCTCGTTATGGAAATAAGTTGAAAAATATTCCGTGCGAGCCTCGCGTCGTACACACCGCGAGTGCTACAACATCGACGCGTGGCTCCCTTATTATGTATTTAAAGCTGGGCGGTCGATAGTTTTCGAATTACGCTCGCGGAATGTAAAGGAGGCGTCGACTGGAAGGTGAAAATGGCAAATTTTCGCTAAACGAACGGCGAGGCCGCGAGCAAATGCACCTCGTACAGACAGACAGTTTCCCCCGATGAGTCCACGTGAGACGGTAATTTGTCAGCCCTCCTTAATCGCGGCTGATTTTCCGATGTTACGTAAGCTGGTCCCAATTCTTTCTTCAACACTCGCGATCTTCCCCCAGAGTACGCTACATAATACAGGGAGTCCGTAAATAAACGGGTCAAGTTTGAGCGAGAGACCCGTTCGATCCGAGCTCTTTTTTTTGCGAAAATGTCAAGAGTGGCATCGTCGCGATATAAATATTTTCACGACGATACGCCAAGGTTTCCGATACCAGAGTATTCGTCGTTGTGATCGTCGCGCGTCTTATCGCAGGCCGGATACCGCGGAATGTATCGACGGCACTTCAGGGACCGATAGAGATCGGAGGAGATCCGATAGGATTTCGAAGGCGTTCGGGGTTTTATTCAACTCTGATGGGTGGCAGCGTCCTCTCGGGAAAAATACGAGAGGGACGGGGTCCCAGGGATCTTGTAAAAATTCTCCCGCGATAACGAATTTACGGTTGGACGTTCGCGCCGATTTTCCCTTCGTCCGGCCCCTGCACCTTATCGCGCGTCTCATCTCGCGGGCCGCAATAATAATTATCGTTGGGTCGGAGGCGCGGGATACACGCAGAGCGCATCTGGCGCGGGAAGCGAGGAGGGTGGGAAGGAGCTTGTATGAAAAGTTGGATTGGTACCGGACGTATACGCTCTTCGAGTGCCGACAGTTGGCGTTCTCCACTCGAAGCCCACGAGTGCCTTCGAACAAACGCTACGGCAGCCTCCGGTCATTAAAATCGCAGGGGCAGCGAGAAGCCCGCTGAGAGAAAGAGAGAGAGAGAGAGAGTCGCGTTACCTTTCTTTCTTTTTTTGCGCTCTTTCTGTATTAATTAGATTTTTTATTCGTCGCGTGCCCTTGTTTGCACACACCTTCGGCGGTAGAGTCAACTATTTCGCGCGGCAAAGCTAACGCAATTGTCCTCGGACAATGACGCGTAGTCACTTACGCGCTGATATTTGCGCAATTCGGAGCTGCACGAATTAGTTGCACTCCGTTATAACTTGAGCTGTACACAATCACACTTTTGCCGATTGCACCGATGCCACGAAGTTATAACGCTTTGTTCCAAACATTTATCCCCGGCGTTAGTCCGTTTGCGAAATGCTATCGGATACTTCGACGGGGATAATATTGGCACTTCCGCTTTTCCCCGAAACGGACGTAACAAATCGCACGTATCACCGTCGCGGCCCGCGAATAGAAATATCGACCCAATTATCGGCTTCCGAGCCATTAATTTTAACGCCGGTCCTCACCGGCGGGAGGGAGGGGGGCGAGGGAGATCGTTCTCGACGGGGCACTCGAGTTCTCTCGCTTTACAGTCCTGCCGGTCAAATTGGTTGTACGACCGATCGATGTCGGTTTAATGCGTTCGGACCTATCGCCGCCGGGATCGCTTCTCGAGACCCCCCCTGCGGCACCAAATACGATAATTCGATCCGCCGGGCGCCGGGCGAGTCTCCTTCACGCGAGACTGAACGGGGCCCGCACGTCGCGGCGTTACAATGAGTTCTACCCCGTACTTTCCCTCTCTTTCTACTTGGGCTCTCGCATTTTTCGCGTTACTTCCGCGACGGTTCACCATGCGGAATGGAATCGCAAACTGTCCGCGGTGAACGACCCTAAATTCATTGCCCGATGAATCTCCGCAGATAATTCTACATTGGATTTTTTTATCTTCAAATTACTCCGCGATGACTTGATTCTCTTAAGCCAACGGCACGCGATACTATTTTCTTCCTACTGGATTGTTTACGGGAGCCAATCAGGATTTAGCCTTAGGTCACGTGATCTAAAACTCTGTATTCTTATTGGTTCTTGTAAGCAACCCAGTAGGAAAAATAGTAGCGTGTGAGGCTATTTTAACGAAGAACCCTCAGAAGTATGTTATTCTAAGAAAAAAAATCTTTTACGTAGAATAAATTTGTCTTGGTAGACTAAACTGAAGACAAATCAACTGATTTGTTCAAAAATCCCCGCTGCAATTTTAATAAAAATGAATACCTTCCACACTAATTGTTTTATAAATCTTTCAATTACTCTAAAATAGTTGTATCTTGATTCTGTTGCAATGCGGTACAAAAATTTTATTTTTTGATGAAAAAAAAATCTTTTTGTGTAGAACAAATTAATCTCAGCAAACGAAACTGAAGACGGCTGATTTGTTTAAAAATCCGCGCTGCAATTTTAATTATCTATCCGGCGTGTATGAGAGAAAAGAGGAGAGTTGATTGCAACCGAAATGGATCCATTCGCTCTAAATGAATTATTAATCGCGAAGAATTGTCCGAGATTTTTTTCATTCGTTTTCTCCAATTAATTGCCCGTTATTTCTCTCAATCGAGAAAAGATTAACGGGGAGCGGTAAAGCGATTCTGCGTATTTTTGTTTTATTCCAGTCAAGAATGACCCAACCCGCTTTCTTGGGGAGGGCGTGTCGTTCAAGGCGAAGCTGATCGGTATTCTAGAGGTGTCGGAAGCGCGCGGTGACCGGATGTGCCAGGCGGCCTTGGCTGACCTGAAGATGGCGATTCGCGCCGCCGGCGAGCACAAGCAACGAATCGCCGTTCAGGTCAGCATAGACGGGCTCCGTTTGAGGGACGAGAAGACGGGGGTGAGTTGGCGAAATTATTCACGCAGCCGGACATCGCCCGATCGATTTATCCTATAATTCATGATCGCAATTCCTTCGCAGGACTGTCTGTACCATCATCCGGTGCACAAGATATCATTTATCGCCCAAGATATGAGCGACTCGAGGGCCTTCGGTTATATCTTCGGGTCACCGGATACCGGACATCGATTCTTCGGCATTAAGACTGATAAGGCGGCGAGTCAGGTGAGTCTTCCTTCCATTCTCGCTTCGCTCCGAACGTCCCGCGGAAAAGAAAATAGAATTTCCCTCCAAGTTCCCGACGAGTTCTCGCAACTCTCCGCCGAGAAACACGGGCGAATTAGAGACCCCGTAATCAGAGACTGGCCATAAGAGTTGGTCAAATTCCTGCGAGTGAGATAGCCTACGTTTCTCTCTCACTCGCAGGAATTTGGCGAACTCTTATGGACCAGTCGCTACGATCGTAGAAGAGTGAGATAGCCTATGTTTCTCTTTCACTCGCAGGAATTTGACGAACTCTTATGGCCAGTCTCTGATTACAGGGTCTCTAGGGGGAATCTGATCGGGGTGCGCAAGGCGCGATCGGACGAGGGGGGGGGGGGGGGCGAGTCGAATTGATTTCGCAGCTCGAGAGTTATCGGGGGCACGCACGAGCGATTGCGATTTCGCGTTCCTGCGTCGCCGCCAAACGCGGTTAAAGTGTGTCAATTATCGGGAACGAGTAGCCGGCCGCTACTCGTAGCGAGGAGGGACCACGGGATGGCCGTAGGAGAGCAGGGACAGCCTAGAATGATATTTGCCCGATCCGAGAAGCAATATCGACCCCCGGGCGACCGTAATCCCGGATGCGTATGTAAATAATTGCATTATACGGCTCCGCCGTTCGCGACTCGCCCTCCGTTCCTCCGATCCGTTCCTCGCCGCGGGAGATTGTTGCCGGATTATCCACGGCTCGCTTCGTGCGCCGTTCAAAGGGATCGGCGGGGCAACTTCTTGATATTCAAATCCGCCGGTATATCCCACTTTTGTGCTCGAGCACCGCGCGAGCAAACGCCCCTTTGAGCGCTTCCTCCTTCCGCGTCGAGGAAGATCGAGAGTCACGCGCAATTGGTACATTGTTCTTAATTGTCATCGATTAGAAGCGGAACAGCCGTAAAAAATGTTATCCCAGGGAAAATTTCATTCTAACGATGAATTTTGTGACGAATACATTAGACGAGCAACGGCGCGCGAATACTTTGGCGTAGCCTTGTTAATTTGATTGCGTCACTTAATTGCAAACGAGGTCTCTCAAATGTGTTAGGAAAATGCGCTGACAATTATTCGAATCGCTGCTCGATGTTACGCGCTTGTTCTCACTCGGTTCCGAGGAAAATAGACCCGCGACAGTTCCGCCGAGCACCATTGTTCGCGCGACGCGTCGCGGTCGCGAGTAATTTTCCGCGGGACGAATATTAGACGCAACAGCGGCAAAGAGAAGTTCACGGCGCCTAATCGGCCGCGTTAAATCGAGGAATATTCAACTCTGCCGCGGAGCGCCGAGACTTTCGCTCTCGATCGCCTCGCGCCCGGCACAATTGCCGGGGCCCTCAACTCGCGCAATTCAATAGCGGCGATTATCGTCGCGAAAATGAAATCAGCCCGGGAAGAGCTCCGCGCGACAGGTGGCAAATTAATTCAACAACCTTACGCCTTCATTCAATTTCCAAGTTTAATTTCTGCGCTCGCCTCCTGTAAACGGCTCTGGGCGGTAATCCTCACCCGTATATTCGGCGGCGGTCGTGTTTGACGCGCCGCTGGAGGTTTTAACCGACATGGAATCGCGGCAAACAGAGGGTTGTCGAAGCCGATGGCACGGGGACCGAGGAGGGAAGGGTGAGGAGCCAAACGAACGAGCGATCGAAGAAAGGTTTCGGAAATTACGGTCACCGGGCGTGGGTAGCGCTCCCTGTTTCCTCGATATTTTTCATTCGCGAAGAAAAGGAAATTAATTCGGATCTGTCGGGAGCTCTTGGGGCGTCAAATTGGTCTCGAATTAAAATGAAAGAAAGAATATCCTTTTTTTCTCGCGGCCCAAGGGGCCACCGGGTGCGTGTCGAAAGCGCGAAAATAAAACTGAAACGGATGAAAAATTTCATTCACGCGAGATCTCGCTGTTAGGCTTCACGGGGGGAGGACGATTTCTTCAGAAGTTAAATCGACAGATATCTTTGAGTACTCTGGGGAAAAAAGGCAGCAACCCGTTTTGGGGTCCAATTAGTAATCGAATTATTTGGATTGTTCATAATTCTACTCTGCGAAAAATTTTGACCGTTTTGTTTTTATAGTTAAGCAACTTAACATTTCGGTTAGTGCCTCTTAAGTGAAAATTATCTTTGCGTTACTGAATATCGACGGAACTAATTGAGGGAAGTAATTAGTATTAATTTAAAATCTTGGATATAGATAGAATAGCTAATTGCGATTCTTAGTTACGCGGGGTAAAGTTCGCAAATAATTCGATTACTAATTGTGGGCCAAAATGAGTTGCTGTCTTCTTTTCCCCAGAGTACTCTCTAAATTTTTATGCAGTGAAATCTCACTTTTCTGGAGTGAGATGGCGATGCCATGATTCAACTGAAAACACGCGAGAAATTTTAGAGAGCATTAAGAATTGCTGAAATACATCCGACTTCGAAAACGTAAACGAGTTTACGTCCGCGGCGAAAGTTCGGCGTACCGCACAAGTGGTACAAAGAGAATATTTTGTTTAACAGGTGGTGATAGCGATGCGGGACTTGTTCCAAGTAGTGTTCGAGCTGAAGAAGAAGGAAATCGAACTGGCGAAACAGCACATAGAGCAGAATGCCATTAATGCGATTAAATTCCACACCGGCGGTATTTTCGTTGAGTCGGCACCCGACACCAAGGTGAGTTCCAATCCCACGAAATAATTGCTGCCGTCAAGATATGTCGGCTAAATTGTTCTCTCAAACGAGTCTTCTTGTTCGTGTTTTTAATTGCTTCTTCATTTTCCTCATAGTGTGTCTATCATTATTCACATATCCGTTTATTTCAATATTGTCTAAAGTCAGCTAACGCGTAACTCTTCATCGACTTCTAAATAGATCTGATTAGAAAAAGATCAATGATTCACTTTAAGAGCAAATTTTCCCAACGTTACTTTCCCCTAATCACACTTAATCAATGTTTGCCGCTGTTTGTATTATCATCATCATACTATAAAGATTTAGAAAGAGAAGTAAAGAATGTGTCGAACGAGAAAGTACGAGTTAATCGACGTTGGTGGAGAGTCGACTCTAAGAGAAACAGTACTGATAATAGTAAGACATAATTATCAGAGGTCAGACGCGTTACGATAATTTGTCGCAGGGCGCAGCGGGCACCGAGTCGTCGTTTCATCGAATTCGCACAACTAACTGCGAGGTCGACAAAACCGCCGATCGCAAGAACGAGACACAGAGCGGTGTGATTGCGGATTTGCTAGATCTGCAGTTCGAACTGAATTCGCTGCAACAGGGCATTCATCAGATGGACAAAATTACGCCGGAAAATCCCGTACCGTCTACCGACGATCTATTCGAGACCGATCCGTTCGGTGATTCTTTCGCGAACATGAAGGTGCGATTGGTATTGCGACTTTGCGAGTATCTTCTTCATTTAATGCGCTAGAAATGCAACTGCAATCATTATAATCGTTGCAATCTTAACATCGGTGTGAGCGGAGAAACTTCTTTTCGCAATTCAATATATCCAAAGTATGACTTGCAGACGTAATCATTACAATCATGATATTCATAATGAAGAAGCGAACCTTCTCAGTAATATTACGTTCATGTTTGATTTTCCTGTACCTGTTGCAGCTGCAGGACACAGTTCGTCCGATTCTGCCACCGCCACCCTCCTCGACAAAGAGGGGACATTTAGAGCGACAGCATACTGTACCAGCACCGCCCGCATCGACCACTTCCAGTCCGGCGACGACGTTAGTTAGTAAAACACCACCACCACAAAGTACGATTCATTGGTTTGACAAGGAGACCGAGGATCTCTTCAACGACGAGATAGCGAGTCTGAGTAACAGTTCGGCGGCGAAGAAGGACCAGGAAGACGTGAGTATCGATTTACGTCATCTACGCTCTACTTTCTTAGCAAGCACGTTTCTGAAATTTCACTTTGTATCGCACCATAGAGCTCGGCGGAGACCACACCTCGCAATACTCAGACAAAGAGTCCGCAGATTGACGTGTTCACGGAGCTGGATCCCCTGGGGACCGGTCTGATCAAGCCTTACGTGGACAAGAAAGATTTCTTCCAGCACTTGAAAAACCCACCGAAAAAAGTCCTCAAGGATCTGGTGTCCACGAGTTCCAGCGATAGCTTCCCGACGAACTTCAACATCACGACCAGCTCAGAGTGCGTGGAGTCGACGAAAACGCAGACCGAGTTGTCGTCGAGGGACAGCGAGGACAGCAACTTCGCCAACTTCGATCGATTCGACGAGAACGAGGCGAGCCAAACCACTCAGCAAAGAGTCGACTCGCCGCCGAGGAAAGAGACGGCCTCTCGGTCGATCCATCATCAGCCTCTCTCGGTGTCCTTGCCGCCGGAGGAGACGGTTAAAGGGACGAGTACCGCGTCGGGAGGAAGCTCGATCCTTCGCAGCATGGACAGAGACTCGACGGAGTCGAATCAGGGGCTGGTGAAACTACCGAGCCCGAAGAAGTATCTTCAATCAGTACGGAAGAAGGACTTCGACATCGACTTGCCGGCCGGAAAGGCGCAATCTGTGGAGGCCAACAAGCAGTTCCCGGTGGATTTCTCGGTGACGAACGAATCGCCGGCATCGCCACTGCGATCTTGCTCGTCGGACGCTAATTCGCGCCTTTCTAGCTCGAGCGCGGAATTGGATCTAGTGCCGGAACCGCCGCCCAGGGGCGCGGGAAGCATTCTCATCAACCCGCCGCCCTTACCGCCGAAGAAGCAGGGGGCTCGAGGGGGCGCGAGACCACCGCCCAGACCGCCGCACACGGAGGGCCATTTCCAGTACGACTTTCCACAGCGCGAGGCTTCGCCGTCACCTACCAAGATCGTCAGGGATAAAAATAAAAGCCCGCCGAGAGACACCAGGGGTCATCAGTTCGACGATAATTTCAGTCCGCCTCCGCAGATATCCGGCAGATCGGACTTTACGACGACCACTGCCTCCGCCTTCGAGGATTCTTTCAGCACGATGATATCATCCACGACGTCGTTGTCACCCGTGTCCTTTACCAGCAGCACCACCATCCCGGCCGCGGACTCCAAAAAGACGAAGCCGTCGCTCGACATCACGCTCAGTCAACTGACGTCGTCGTGGACCAATTTGGACGACTTGGCATCTAGCCTCGGCATAACCGTCCAGCAGTTGACAGGTCTGACTTTGACGCAGCTCACGCAATGTTTGGCGAGTCTGTCGACGAAGGAAACCGCCGTCAGCAACGTAGAGGAGACTATCGTTTCGCCAATAACAGCAGCATCGGCAACGATGAAAGAGCAAACGGTGCACAAATCGACGATCTCGTCGTTGGCGTCGTTGGCGTCAAAGCCGCTCGAGACGTCGCTCGAGGCGACGATCGAGTCGAGTTCGACCTCATTTGTGTGCTCGGAGACTTTCAAGACTAGTTACGAATCGGAAACGAAACAGGATTCTACATACGATAAATATGCAGTTTTTCGGGAATTGCTGGAGATGGAACAGATGGAACGAAGACAAGAGACAAGCGACGAAGCAATTGAGAAGGAAGAAGCGCTTGACAGAGAAGCTCCCGACGAAACAACGATTCCGCCGGAAGTGCAGACCAGCGAGGGTACTTCGAATTCTCTAGCTTCGTTGGTGAATCTGACCGTCAAGCTACCGGTCAAGCATGAAAATTTGTTGACAGACGAATCCGCCGCGATGCTGGACGAAACGATGACTAGCTCTCTCGCGGATTTAACGATGGAGAAGAAAAAGTCGGTGGAAGTCGAGGACAAAGAGGTCGAGAGGGAAAGCGACGTGATGGCAGATGCGGATGTCACATCCGACTCGTCCACGGTCCAGCAGACGGAGATAGACATCGAGGACGACACGGAGAAGACGCAGACTATCATGGACGCGGAGGAGAGGGCGGAGAACTCCGAGAGAGGAAGCGACGCCAATGGCACCTCGTCCGACAAGGTTGGCTCTGACATTCTCAACGATGAGACGAACGACTCGTCCGTGGCCGACAGATCCTCGACGGAGGTGAAATCTTCGATCTCGACGTCCAGCGACAGATACGCTGCTCTGCGGGAGATAATCGGCGAGCCGGAGCCGGTGCCGATTAGGAGGGACGACGAGGAGACGGTGAGCTCCGCCCGTGCGTCGCCGGTGGTGCAATCTCAGCAACAGATTCAGCAATCGAGAAGTCTGGCTGAGGTGGAATTGCTGAATCTGTTCTCCGACAACTTGCCGCCACCGTCGAGCCCGAATATCTCGGCTAAGAAGGTCTCGGAGGATCTGAAGGCCGTGGCGATGGACATCTTCGAGGAGATCAAGATGCTGAACACCGGCATGCACCGCGACAAGGAGACCAAGCCACTAGCCTCGTCCTCGGGCTTTGAGGATATGTTCTGCCCGTTCGCGGAGACGGCGCGATCGGACAAGGATGACAGCAAGGAGGACAGCAATTGGGCCAAGTTCGACACGGGTATCTTCGGCTCGTCCGACAGATCTTCGTGCGAGGGGCAGCGATCGATAGGCGGCACTTCGCCGTGGTCGCCGGACGGCAAAGATTTCCACAGGGAGATTCCGTTCAAGGGAAGCGGCGGTTATCGACACTCGGGCGACAGCGACAACGAATGGAAGGACGAGGAGGAGAGCGAGGAGAGCAACGGCAGGATACGAGGGGACGGCAGATACTGGTCCGGCACTCGGCATCCGCGATTCGATGCGCCTGGCTTCGAGGACAGGTCGTATTACGAGGATGCTGACAAGCGGGACCGCAGCAGCTTCCGCGACAGGATGGGCAGGAAGTCGCGCGGCGTACCGTGGGCCAAGAGTGGCGGCGCTCATCGGCCACGCGACCCGTCGCCCTGGCACGAGGAGGGCCAGTGGGAAGACGAGGGTCCGCGGCGGTACCCGCATCGGAAAGCGCAGCCCTACAAGGACGAGGAGGAGCAGTACGAGACGCACTGGAAGTGTCGGTCGAAGCCACCGCCGCCGCAGCGGTGTAACTGGAGCCACGACGTTCACGGTTCGTACTACGACGACGAGCGTAAACGGAAGCTGATGCTGTGGAACGAAGAAGACCGCTTTGGCAGCAGCCAGGAGAGCATGGGCTACGACGAGGAGGACCGGTGGAGCAGAAGACGGTACGAGAGAAGACGATGGGAGGAAGATAACAGATTCTGGGGTAGAAGAGGGCCGCCGGACGCCGATTATTCCATGAGAGAGGCGTATTACTATTATCGCGACAGCAGGGACAGACCTCACGACTATCCGTCCTGGGACGAGGAGTACGGCCCGGAGCGTCCGGGCGACGACTCGCCCAGATACAATCCGGCGGGTAGGAAGAGACACTGGCCGAAGAGACCCAACAGCGCCAACGACGGACGTAACGATATGGTGTACGCGGATCCGCGCAAATTCGGCGCCTCCAGATCCGAGTGTAGCGACAACGATTCCGATCCGTACCTGCGACCATCCCAGCGGTCCAGGAGCCGCGAGAGCTACTGGGGCAGCGATCAAGAGTACGACAGCTGGGTGGAGCGGCCGTACTGGTCCGAGGGTCCCGACTCCAAGAGCGAGACGATGCATCGTAAACGAATAGCCAGGCACAAGACTCGGCAGGTGCAAAAGACGCAGAGTCCGTTCGAGGATGATTTTGCGCAGAGCGTCGAGCATATGGAAGCGTCCGGGTCGAGCGGCGCGGCAGAACCGCTCGCGCCGCTGGATGCGCGCGTGCGACCGGACACGGCTGATCAGAAGCGAGAACCGCCGCTCGCGAGTCCCTCGTCCGGTGTCAGAGGCCTCAAGGATCATCCCAGGCGGGACATTCCCATCCGGGAGTACAGCAAACGGTCGAGCTACTTCGAGGACGATCTCACGCCCACGGCGAGCGCGTCCAGCGACGCGTCCGACCGACAGAGGTTGTCGTCCGAGCTCAAGGCCACGCCGGAGGAACTGCCGTGCGACGCCAAAGATCCGCAGCAGCCCATCGACGGCTTCGTCTCCGAGGATAGCGGCCGCGATTCATTCTTCAACGGCGACCTGAGGTTCGACGACGACGCCTTCGTCTTCAAGTCCGAGCTGGACGACAATGTGCCGGATCATCGCGCCACTACGTTGCCGCTCAAGAATTCCAGGCAGGGAAAGTACGGGCCGGGGAACAACAATAACAATAACAAGACGGCCAGGGGCGACCAGTACATACGGAAGTCGGAGTCGGTGAATATCTTCGCGAGGGAGAGCGACCCGTTCGACGGAGACGATTTCTTCAATTGATCCGTCGAACGATCGACGACAGTAAGAGTCGCGAGAACCCCGCGCTAAATTCGGTGACACTGATGTGGACTAGATAATTGGAACTTGAACAAGAAAAAAGAGGGAAAGAGAGAAGAGAGAGAAGGAGAACAAAGGGACGGTTTTCATTGCACACTCGGAAAACGTCGGCGGATCGTGAAAAACGGTGGAATCCGCGCATACAACGATACTTGGTTCTCCTCTAGTCGGCTGTAGCAAATTTTAACGTAGCCAAATTGAAGAAAGAGCTTTGAAAGAGCTTGAATCTCGAACATATCCGAAAAAATTGTTGTCCATAGCGATTTTTTTGCTGAGCTTCTCTCGTGAATTTCACGAAATTCTTTCCAAAATCTGTTCTTGTCCACTTGGCAGAGTGCAATTCTTCGTTACGCGACTAACAGATTTTCTTGTATCTTATCTTACTCATTAATTTACAACGTGCCATACTTTCCGACAGATTTGGTTCGTCGCAATCAAACAGATTGACTCGTTTCGAAACAGAGGCTGAAATGCGCTTATCCGAAAATTAACGACTCTATGTTTTATTTGGAAATTTCGATAAAGGAATTTCAAGGCACAATAATTCCACAAGAAGCTAGTCACTATCCTAACGAATTTGTATATACCTAATATTGATGTGTTAGAATCGATTTGCCGAGAGAGATAAAGAGAAAGATCAGCGTAATTTAATACATTTATGTACCGAATAATTGTTGAACATCGTTTTACGTATTTATTTGTATACTCAATTTATTTGCCATACCGCAAGTATTTGTGCATACGCTGTTTAACTCAATTTGTTTTAAGAGGAACGACTCTAGTCACGTGTGCGTAACCGTTGCATCTGGGAGCTTCGAGAGAGGAGAAACCGATAGCGCGCGTTTTGGGAAGTAATCAAAATGGTTTTTATACATTTTTAACTAGCACGAATCAATTACTTTGCATTAGGCGTTCGTACATCGTCGACGACGACGATCCTTCTGCAAGCTCCCCTCCGATTTGCCATTCGGTTACGCTGCTGATAAATTGCTCTCATGTGTGAGAAATACGAAGGGTGGTAGAATTATATTTACACAGACGAGATTATTGCCTTATGTTCGTCGTACCTTTAATATTTTAGTGTGTGCGAAACTGGCTCGAGTATGAAACGTTCGCGCATTGTTTGATGCGTATAAAGTCGGATTGCGAAAAGTTTCTTTGAAAAATACAAACCGGACCATTTCGCTCTCTAATTTCTCGACGTTATCAATTATTTTGTTGTAAGTAAGAAATAAATATAGTATTGAGAGGGAATAATGTAATTTTCCAAGTTACACAATCCAAGCTTAACAGTCAACGTTAAATATTTCTAGGGGGGTGACTTGTGAAAAATTGCAGACAGTATCGTCCAGCACGTAATATTTCTTTCCTATTTAACACAGAAGATTATTCCCAATGGCTTAAAATATTCTCGAAGCTGTTTATGGGAAAAATTTTCATGGAGGCGAGGCAAACTGTAAAAGGAACGATAAACGAGAATTTTTTACTTCGAGCTAAAAATAATGTGCGCCGCTACGTTTCTTTTCTGTCCAATTCGATCTTACGTACAAGGTGCACAGTCTATCAAGATTTACCGCAAATTCTCTGCTAATATACTCGCATGATTTATGTTGGAGAGTACTCCTACGCTACCACCGTATTACAACGATCACGCCGACATTTTACACACTGTATGTACTTATGTAATAATAGTAGTAAATTATTTATCACTCGTTTAATGGTTACTCGACACTGTATTGCGAGTATGCGTCAGAAATGATAACGACAATACCGCTTCAATGGCAATTCGATTCCTTATCCCCCCCTCCTCTTTAAAAGATTTGTTAATACGGCTGATGATCAATTATACATAATCATGCAAATTTATCTCGCTGTTTTTACATACTGTTTTACATACGACTTCTTAAGGGATCTGTGTAGATACGACTTTACGCAAGATTGCGGCGATAGGAAGAAATCAGGCAACTGTACAAATTAAAAAAGAATATATATGTGTATCGGTGATGCATATCTTCAGCACTCTGGGCGATTAATACAATTTAAAGATTTCAACGTACGGCACTTTTTCTCGAAAATTGTGATCTTTAAAAAATTATGATGTACCCTCAATAGTTCAGTTTCAAATATTTCTTTTTCCGCTTTTAGACTACGTAGTAAAAAAATTATTATTTTGCGAGCTTAAATTATATTAGTTTCGCTACGTTAAACTAGAAAACGTATGAAAATAATTTTATTTAAGAAAAATCCAAAGATTTGAGTTTTACAAAGCAACTCTGTTTTAGCAAGAAATGAATAAGATCGGATGTGCACGATGACTATTTCCGCGAGACAAGTTGAGAGCATGCTTTTTTCTAATTTTCGCTAAATATCCAGCAAAGACGAATTAAACTTTTGCCAAAAAATGCCTATTTCGTGTAATTTTGACATGAATATCTCATGAACACTAAGAAGACAAAACAAGTAAGTATATAATTGGGATTTTAATTTTTACGTATAAAGTTGCATTCTCTTTTAATCTTATGATTTTGTTTTTTATTTTATTAGAGAAAACTCGGCAAGAATAATGCTTTTTGTAACACTACGCTGAGAAAACTATCCGATTAAATATAATCGGATAATCCAATTACATAATAACAAACGGATATATCCAATTAAATTATATATCCAATGAAAAATATGATCGGTTTTTCAATCAAATTTCATCGGAAAGCGTAATCGGAAAAATTAATCATTGGAAACACTATTTAATTGGTTTATCCGATAGAAAATTTTCTCAGTGTATTAGTTAAAATTAATCTGTAACAAATCAACCTAGTCGTACTGAATATTACATCAGCAATTAAAATACCATATATATAAAGAATTCTTTGACGAAAAAAGAAAAATTATCACAAAGTAGAAGTAAATTTCGGAACAGCAGTACATGCTGAGAGAGCCACGAGCCTCAATGTGTGCATTGCACGTGCATACTATCATGTGCTTTCGCGTCCTATCGTCATTGTCTTGTCACTCTCGAATCTCCAGTTAAAAAAATATATATAAAAAAGGAGTCTCAACAATTCCGAGCCCTCGTCGTATTTCGAAATTCTTTAGTATACACATCCTATCCTTACGGGATCCTCGAGCAAGGGCTCTTCTTCGCATTTGACAAAAACAAAGTGACAAATAGGCGCCGAGCGGCGTCGGGGGTGGCGTCGCCGTCGCCGTCGTCATCGACGTGGCTCAGGCCGTATAATCGGTACGCCGCGTCCCTCGGCCTCGCGTGTGCACGCCACCCCGTTCCTTGATTTCGGCCGCGCACAATGCACAATAAAAGAGCATTAGGATCGCCGGCTTTGTCGGGAGAGAGAGGAGCGGCTGCACGACTTCTCTCGTAACAATGGCGCGGCCTCCACTCGGCCGCGGTGCTCGAAACACCTGGCAAACAAGGAAACAATGCGCCGCACGAGCCGCACTTCGACGGGATTTCGCGCATTTGGGGGTGCGCGCACGCTAACAAATTATCGCCCCTTCCCTCCGCCCTCTGCCCCATCTCCGCCACCCCCGCGGCTCACCCCCGCTCCCACCCGGCTCTACCGTGTCTTTCTCGCGCTCTCCACCTTCTTTCCGCCCTCGCTCGGTGCTCCATCGCGAGTTTCGGAATTGCGAATCGCGGGCGCGAAAATTTTTCGAGCTCTCCACGGCCGTGGGGGGAGGGGAGAAAAAAAATCGCGTCTTCAAAACACACACCAGACAAATGCTGGACAGATTGATCCGATTTCGAAACAGCAAAAAGAAAATTGAGTTTGCCAACAAGTTTTTAACACGTTTAATTTTATGAACCGACAATACTTTCTCTTAATACTGAAATTCGTAGGTTTATAAATACATGATAGAGTATCTGGCTTTCTCAATAATCTGACGTGGAAAAATATAATTAAAGATATATTTGAAACCAGCTTAAATTCAGCACAAAAAAAGCCGCAGGGTATTTGCATAGAACAATTCGCCGGTAGTAAAAAAAACAAGGATCAGACCACTCTGTCTTTGCGTGGAAGGTGATGCACGAGGGAGCGGAAAGCTGCAGAAGAGGACGGAGTGTAAAGAAGAGAAAATCAACCCGCATGTGCTCGTGCACGCACTCGAAAACGAAAAGTACTTTCGGGCATGCGGAGGTGGGAACTATAAAATGCACCGAGCGGCTGCGATGGTGCGCGCCCTTCTCGGTCAAATGCAACTCTGAAAAGCCACGAGAAATGTTTGTAATTGGGATCGTTGGCCCGTCGTGCTCTCTGAGCACTACGCGTTTTGAGAGAGAAAGAGAGTGCGCTCCCTTTTTGCTCGAGTGCGCTTTTGCGATACGCGCTGGCGTTTTATTTTGTTAGAGCGTCGCACATTCGGCGGATTAGGTAGCTCATAACGTAAGATATTACATAATTTTTTTTCAGTAAAAAAATTACATGTAGCTGTAAGTAATTATTGAGTCATAGTTGAATAATGGAAAAAAAGGTACGAAGGCAGAAAGAGATTATTGCATAATAAAAAAACGGATATATCGGATTAAATTGTGTATCCGATGAAAAATGTCATCGGGTTTTCAATCAAATTTCATCGGTAACTGCGTTTTATCGAATATATCCATAATTTAATCGGGACAATTAACCACCGGTGACACTATTTAATTGGTTTATCCGATTATATTTAATCGGACATTTTTCTCAGTGTGTAGGGGTTCTTCTTGTAACCCTAAGGGGAAGCAATAAATCATATATGATAACTTTTCACATATAATTGTTAACGCAAAAGATTAATAAAGCGTCAGTGTAGACTTGGATTTGATGGGACTGTTATGAATTTTCGTTATTTTTGTGTATCATAATACTGTAACAGCCTTATCTTTAGGATTGTTCATGCCGCTGGTTGCAGTAACAAAGTGTTCCTACAGAAGAGCGAATCATCGATAATTCACCCATTAAGTATTTCCCACTTAACGACGACATCGTTAGCGTCGGACGCGCCAATGTGTGTCCATCAATATTTCATAAGTCTCGAGTAAAAGCGGCGAGTGTTTACCGCGTCCTAAGCAACTAAGCGAATCCTCGATCTCGTTCGCCGGTTAGCCGTAAGTGTGCTCCCCGCCGGCAAATTTGCATTGAATTGAATTTCAGATTCGGTCGCGCGGCTTCACCGCAATCGGCCCGCCGTCGAGGGCCACCCTCCGAGCCCCCCGCCGTGTCTTTCTTCAATCTGCGCGAAATCAAATGAGACAATATACAGGGTGAACCACGTAATTTAACCACGCCGATTACTCGCCATCGTTGATGCGATAGTCCAAATCCATATTTGTCTCTCGTTATTGCTCTTCGTAATCTCGAATAGTTCGCTTCGGAATGCCCCGTAGAATGATTTCCAATAGATATTTTTCGACAATCGTCCATTTTTTCTATCTATCGATTTTCGAAATCAAATTGAGCCTTTACGATGAATAACCGATTTATCTGACTGTTTTTCGACAGCTGATATTCACTCAAATACCAAGTATTCACAACGTATCGTACGAACGAGGGACTCAAAATCGCGATAAGAAGAATCTTCAATTTACCATCCCCGAACCGCATAGGTAAATGGCCCTTCCTGCTCGATGCGAGAGGGCGCGAAGGGGAGGGCGGCGGAGGACATCTCAGTATCGGTGGCGAAAATGGCAGACGCGGCAAGGGACGGGACGCAGAAAAGGACGAGACGGAGGCTCTCGAGCGCGGAAGGGGTGTGAGACTCCCGACGAAGCGGGAAAACGGCGTCTTGAAAAAGGTGCAAAGCCGACAGTATTCTTTGTAGCGGGGATATATTCCGCCCTGTGCCGCCAAGACCTCTTCGCACTTCTTTACCTTTCCCACCCTCCGCTCCTGCGACGCTCTCGGCTTTCTTGCGCAGCGCCTTCTTCATCCCCGCGACTACCACCCCTTCCTTCCTCACCCGTCGTTGCTGCTGCTGCTGCTGCTGCTACTACTACTACTACTACTTCTACTACTACTACTACTACTACTCGACTCAGCTGCCACCAATCCAACTACCACCGCCGTCACGAGGATCGGCTAGTAGTAGCAGCGACTCACTTCTCCGCCCAATGCTGGCTCCCTCACCCGACTAGAGGCTCTCTTTCGGCACGGGATATTTACCAACATCCAAGATGGCGGGGCATAATCTCGCCGGCTTTTCGCGGGGAGGGCCACGGCGACGAGGACGAGTCATCCACATAGCGGTCTTTCTCCGCCAGTAAACACTCACTCACCCACCCTGTCGCTCCCTTGCCGCGTTTCTCTCGCGATTCTTACCAACTTCGTCCTCGTCTTCTTCTTCTTCCTCGTACTTCGTCCTCTTTGAGCTCTTTGTGAGCTTTGTGCCGCACACCGCGCACTTTTGTCACCGCAAAAGCGGCTGCGCTTCTATTTTTCAACGTCGACTGCTCTCCCGCGAGATTGAGGATTTTAGGTCGTGCTGTGTAGACGTCGAAATGCGTCGGCGGTTCCTTAATCCGCGAATCTCTTTGCACGTGTGTCGCGAAATTTTTCGACAATTTTTTTCTGACGCGTATTCAGGATTATTTAGTTTTTAGAAAACGGTGTAACGTAAGTTATTATTCGTTTCAGAGCAGTGTTTTTTATAATATGATTGTAGTAATCATACGTTTGATTAAAACTTCGGTATATAGAAATTTAATTAAATAAATATATTATTGTATATTCATATCCCTGCTTCATACATCGTAATTTATCAAACTCATTGCCAAGTTACAAATGTCTATAAAAAAAATATCTGCTTGAAAAACTACATCTGTGTCCGAGTGTCAATTACGAATTTTACGTAAAACGTTCGATCTTTATAAAAAGAAAGTCGGCCGAATAGAAATTCGAGCCCGAATCCAGCGCGAATTCGCTTTGCTACACGTAGTTCCGTAGCCGCGAGTATAAAGTCGACAACCCGATCGCGGTTAGCCTTGGAATTTCCAGAAGATTTGGTCCGAGGAAACTAACGGCGGTGGAAACGGGGACGGGGGGGGCTGAGAGGGGGGAGAGGCAAGAGGGAAGAAATCAGGAGGTAAATACGAGCGGCGAGAGTCCAGGGTAAGAAGCAATCGAATCGAATGGTGGAACTCACGGAATCCGCAATCCGCCGCGGAGTGAATGGCGAACCCCCGAAGAGTTCTATGGAGCGGGGGTGCGTCCCACCCCGCGCGCGGGCGCGCGCGTTTTCCTTTCCTCTGCCCCGGTCGTTCTCGTCGGTGTTGAGATTAAGGTGCGGAAATCGCTGAATCGGCACGGGAGACCAAAAGGCACGGAACTTTTCAACACCTCTTCTCGCGATATTCCCCGACGCGAGAAAAAACCAGGGGAGAAACGCGCGAAAATATTTTTATTGAATCGCTACGTTAACGGGGGACTTGGCTTTTTTCTTGTGCAGCAGAATGCAATTGTTTGCTTCCGACGATATCAGTAAACGATTGTACTGTTGTGCGGTTGTACCATTTTACAATTTTCGTAATAGTTAACGAGTTATTAAGTATTGAAAATCGCTGTCTTAGCCCGGCCTACCGCCCAATTCAAGCTCGCGGGACGGCCGCATCTCACCGCGAGCTTGAATTGGGCGGTAGGCCGGGCTAAGACAGCGATTTTCAATACTTAATAACTCGTTAACTATTGCGAAAATTGCAAAATGGTAGAGGACTTTTCGACTCAATCCGATTCGCTCTATCCGTAAATAAGAGGTGAAGGTGGGTATTGCGTAACACCCCGTATATGGAAACAGGCACGCGTGCACGACAATGTAGGACGCAAGACGCCGAATAATAATCATTATTACTAATTACAGCGTCTCGCGCGTCGCGAGATTTCGGAGGCACAATGCGCGGCATTAACATTAGCGCGAACGGATATTGAAATCCGGCGCGAAGAGCGCTGCAACAAAGAAGCGGAAGCGGCGGGGGAAATGGCAGTTGGCGAAGAGTTTCGCCCGCTCGTACGTGGAGTAAGTGCAATAATACCAGATTATTTGCACCGCAAAGCCATGCGTACGGGTAAACACAATATTCGCTCTCGGCTCGGCTCGGCTCTGTGAACCGATAGTGCGCCCAGGTAGACTCGCATCCGCATCTATATCGCGGTTCCGCCGCGTATACCCGTCTCTCTCGCACACCCCGGCTCTCTCTCCCTCGCGCCCGTACACCAGGCGTCATAAATGTCTCGACACATTCACCCCAAATCCAGACAGATTTTTCAAAAGATACCCGGGACACGCGATACCGTTCGCGTTGTCGTTGGAAGACTATTAGAAAATATTCGTGCGTTAGGAAATATTCCGTGCATTATCATCACCAGCTGATTTAAAGTTTACCAAGATAAAATTTCGTCCGCTTTAATGAATTAAGTGAATAAATTAAGATGAAATTCGGCTCGTTAAGTAAAGATTGAAGTTATTTTATCTGATAAAGGATATAACACCCCCTTTTTTCATTGAATTTGTTAAGGTACAAATTATATCTTAGATGTAGACATAATTTATATCTTATAAGATATATCGTGGGTTTTTTATTGGTAATAATTATTACATGTATTAATATATCTAGTGGATCTCTAGCGAATATTACGGCATTTATCAAACCTAGTGTACATATCCGTGTTTCTCGCGCACACCTCTCACTCCTAACAGCTTTTCTCTCCCTCCCTCTCCCCCCCCCCTCTCTCTCTCTCTCTCTCTCTCTCTCTCTCTCTATGTACCGCTCTGGCGTAATACAGATTCTATTTGAGCTGCCTCAGGGAAGTTAACTTGTGATGCGTGCAGCTCGTCTCGCTCTGTTGGCGATTCTACGGATCTAGTCGACGGTTGGTTGGTTGCAGCACTTGCACGATGAAAATGCGACGCGATAATGGCGCTTAGTTATTTCCTTAACCCCTGCACCGCGCTGCATCGGGTTACACAACCAATAAGATAAAAATGTGTCGCTATAAAAACGTAACGAGACCCTTGAAACAACGGACAAAACAGAAATTTTGGAAGGTCGAATTGAACTCTACGTCGGATTTCTGAATTAATCTAAACCAGGATTTTTTCTCACAAAGTCCCTTGTAGTACACCTTGATGCGACAAATAACTCCAAGTGTAAACTTTTAAATATTTCCCTACATATCGCGCCATTTGAAACGAAACGTCTATCTAAGTGATCCAGTAGAACAATGCGCGACAGGAAAGATCGGTATATTTTTAAGCCATTTGTTTGAAATTTCCGCTAAGCTACAAAGGGGATTAAGAGATTACAAAATTATAAAGATGATCGATGTACTCTCGCGACTTGCAGACGTGAATTAAATCAACTCTTGGTCCCACGTTTTTAAAGCGCCGGTTTTTTTTTTTTTTAAGAAAGGAAGGACGTCACGAAATTGGTGCCGAGAGAGCAATCGCGCGACGGAGGAGGTCGCGTCGCCGGCGACTGCTCGTAGATCAGTGGCTCGCGCTCCATCTTCATCGCGCCGCTCAAAGCAAATCAGCCTTCGAAGTGTTACAATTTCGCCCTCCCGCCCTCTCCAACCCCCGCCACGAAAGTCTCTTTAACTATCCCGCTATTTTCCTAACTCCCGTCCTAACCCCCTCCGGGGCTTTCTCCCCCGTTCTCCACGTCGCTCCTCCACTCTTGGCAGGGTGGAAACACGTCGGTCCGACCGGTTGGGGTGGGTTTCGTCTAACGGGGTGCGAGCCGGGGTGGGGGTCGAAACGCCCGCCCATTGGTCCGCCCACGTAGGACCGAAGCGGTCGCTTCAAATCAATTCGAGTCTCGATCTCACCCTGTAGACGATTCTCCGCTCGCGATCGTGCACCCTCCGCCGTCCGCGAGTTTGTGACATCCGATCTCGGCCCGTCTTAATTTTACAGAAAGCGTGTCAATGCCAAGAAGGAACTTATGACGCGCGCCGAAAGCATCGCGAAAGATTCGCGCGTGAAACCTCCATGTAAATCACGAGTCGGCTACCAGGGGACAATTTAGTTCGAGACAAAGTCATCGAGATTTTGTTTTAATAAAGAGGGGAGGTCGCACGGTCTCGTGACTGCAAGATTATCTTATGAGCTGGTGAGAAGACAACAAAGATCCACCGAGCCCGTCCGACTGGATATTTCGCTGGGAGGTGCACGATGAAGCGTATCCTCGTGCACAAATCGTGGGAGACATAGCAATGTCTCGTCGGACGACTGACGTGTGCATCGCAGCTTGAACCCGCAAGTCGGGTGGAAGCGAGACGAAGGAGTCAGGAGGAGGCGTAAAAATTCCCGTTATCGTTGTGGAAACAAACTATTAGCGTAAGATAGCACTCATCAAGCGGAGGATAGAGTGGCGGATTGAATGTGACAGTCGCTCCGCTGAAATATATCGCAACGGAACACTCGCGTGTTTTCCCGACGATCCGCGGAAAAATTTCAACAAGTGCGGTACAAAAGAATCGTTCAATGTTCGCGTAACTGCATCGTAACGTTAACGTAGGCTTCTTCATTTAAGAAGAGGAGGCCGAAGTTCGTGTTTGGTGACCGAAACTTTCGGCGAAAGAAATTGTCGCAGGTGTATTATGTAACGACAATTTCCATCAAAGGGATTTCGTGGTTAATTAACATGTGGGACTCTTGTTATACTCCGACGGATGCAGTTTTCTCCCTAGATTACGTTGGACAGGAAACGATGTAACTGATGCCCGTTCGATGTTTTTATAAGTGCAATATTTCGTGCTCGGACAACTCGGCAACTTGGTATGACTAGTCTAGGACTTGTAATACGCCATTTTTCTCTTCGTTAATAACCCGATAATTTGAGGATTTCATATCAGAGGCGTGCGAAGAGAGAAAAGGAGGGTTTTGATAAGATTTTGTACCGAGCGGAGTTTGAAACGTCGATGGAGGATGAGAGCGAACAATAGCCTCGAAGAGTCGATCGCGGGACCGACGGCGAAATAAACGAGCACCCCGGTGGCAGGCCCTTATGCTCATGAGGCGGCGATCACGATGGAGCCACGTGCGATGATGATGTCGAACCTGTCGTGCGACGGCTGCGCGGACAGCGACCGGGACTCGGACAGTAGCAGCATGATCGTCGACCCGGTGAGTCTCGACAAGAACGACCTGTCGCCGCCGTCGCAGACGTCGTCGAGCCCGGTAATACCGAGCTGCTCGCCGGTACCAACGCCGACCTCGATGCCACCGTCGGCCGGCAGGAGTCGAAGCGGTGGCGGTGGCGGTGGCGGAAGCGGCGGTGGCGGCGGCGGCGGCGGCGGCGGCGGCGGCGGTAGCAGCGGACGCTCTAAGAAAACGTACTCGATGATGTCGGCGTCGAATCAATCGGGGAAATCCAGTGGTTCCAGCCAATCGCCCTCCGGCTACGGCTCCGACAAAATGTCGTCGTCCCTGATAAAACCCCCGTACTCTTACATCGCACTCATCACCATGGCGATCCTGCAGTCGCCGCAGAAGAAGCTGACGTTGAGCGGCATCTGCGAGTTCATCATGTCCCGCTTTCCCTACTACCACGACAAGTTTCCCGCCTGGCAGAACTCTATCAGGCACAACCTCTCGCTCAACGATTGTTTCATTAAGATTCCGCGCGAACCCGGGAACCCGGGTAAAGGCAACTACTGGACGCTGGACCCGTTGGCGGAGGACATGTTCGACAACGGTAGCTTCCTGAGACGCAGGAAGCGGTACAAGAGGCCGCCGCCGCACTACGTGCTGCGGGACCGAGCGATCATGGCCACTTTCGCCATCTGCGGCGACCGGGGACCCTGTCCGGGTGGCGGTGGCGGTCACCCGGGTGCTCTGGCCTATCCCGGAGCCGCTTATCTATCACCACCGCCCGGCCTACCGTTGCTAGACTTCTCCCCGTCGACCCTGGAAGCGCTGAAGCTCGGCGGTTTCCTGGAACCGCCGCCGCCGCTCTACAAACCGGTGCCCATTACGGCGCCGCCAATCAGACAGATAGACCCGACCTCCACTAGGATCACGTCGCTGCCGACCAGCCACACGACGAGCGTCGACAAGAAGCGCAACTTCAGCATCGACGCACTCATCGGCAAGCAGGCAGGCAGCGAGCAGAACTGCGGCGCGTTACTAGATCTCAGTCCGTCGGAGCACAGAGAGATTAGGAGCCAGGCGTCCGCCTTCTCGCCGCTCGTCTAGGAGCCTGGCAACTTTCTTTCTCAATCGCCAAAGACAGATGGTGACTTTTCGAAAGTATTAACTTTTTAACACCCCGTCGCGAGCTCGGCGTAGCTGATAATTATTTTGGGAGGGCCAGAAGTGATATGACTAAGCGACAAACGTGTTCTTATAAACAGAATTCATAATTACTATTGAACAAGAGAGTTCCGACATTATCAGAGTTTTGAGTCTAGAAGCTTCAGCTTCCGCCCCTCGAAATAAAGACGTGGAAAGGAAGCCGTTCCGTAGTTTCACGAGAAGAAGAATGATAGGATCGCAAAGTGAACACTAAACTCGATCGAATGGTGACCACAACGAGATCGCGTTGGTGAACCGTGCTCATCAAAGACTGATCAGAGACTTGGCAGGTCAAGAATGATTCGAGAAAGTTTGAAACAATCGCACTGCAAAGGACTACTCGTTCCAGAGGCGATGGTAATTGATGTCGTTTAGCAGATATACTTTTCGACCAATGCTGTCCAAATGAAATGAACATTCTAATCCCGCAAAGAAATATCGTTTCGCAATTCAAAGATCGTTTTTTTCTTTCCATAGATCATCATTTATTTGCAGTATGTATCTAAGAGAGAATATGTTGCTAAAGCGAGGTTTTAATTTTTCTCAAATAGCGTTTGGTTAAAAATTAAAATTTGCCTCAAAATCGACAGAGAAATATCGATTTTCATTATTCGTCACAAATGTTTTCTTTTTTAATCATTTGGACAGAATTTATCTGTAATAAAACAGTTATATTCGATATGCGTTTTGTCAAGCTTCGACACGGATTTCTGAAAGTTAGCAAGATGCCCGCTGTGCATGTATTAGCCGTATATTTTCGCGATAAAAATATTCAGCGACTGCGGGCGACACGAGGGACGTACATCGAGATCGAAATTCAGGCGTTGTCTGTGTTATATCCTAGGTTTTATTCGGTAAGGCGAAATGGGGGTCATGCTTCATGTAATCAAACCCGGCGAAATTCCTGGCATGAAATTCCTGATGGCCGTTTCTTACCGAGTAGATAAGAATCAAGATGCGTCGCAGAAATCATAGAAGTACGTATGAATTGACTTAATAAAGATGTATATCGAGGATAATATAGCGCGTCCCGTACATATCGGCGCATCTCTGTAAAAAGGCGTAGTGCAATAGAGCGTTTTTATTTAACAATCCGCTAAGTGCTGCTTTTTAAAACGACGGTGGAAGCGGAGACGTCTTGTAATTATATTAGACGTATTACAATTATATCAATTCACCGCTCAGATTATATTTTAACCGTGAATCTTTTTCTAGTCACGAACTTTTTACAAACTCTTTTCCGTAAAAGGAAATTTATTTTTTAAGAGACGGAGCTTTTTGTTATCATCGCCGTATGTTCGATTGCAATTGGAAATCTTTTCAGCACTGTTAACTTCCTTGACATTTTCTTTCGTTGATTATCCCGATAGCATTAATTGTTATGAATCTCGTCGGCACGCAGCGGCCGGAGGAGTGGAACAATAATATAATTCCACTTGTCGAACGAGCTTTCGCGAACAAAGTTCGTTGCGCGGATAAGTTGCCCCGCGTTCCCCCTGATTTCACTTTCGTTGCCCGGATCTGTCGGTTAGGCGAACTTAGGCCGCTTCCGTATGGTCGATTAATATCGGCATTGTAAATACGAGTCCCGGACAAATATATGCGCAGCACTCTGTTACAGCGGGGAGAATCTTTCTTCGGTGGATTTAATGTAAAGCCGCCCTTCCCATTTAGCCGTAAGCGGTCAAGATAGACGTTTGGTGTACATACAGCGAATCCGTAGCGCGCGATCCACACGTAATTGTGAATACATATATGGCATTTTATGACTAGGATACGTTTCCGTTTCGCGCGATGAAGTAGGCCGCAGCTTTGAGGATAATGACGATCCCTAATGACGCTTTTAACGACGCGTTTCGCGTCGCATCCGACGAAGGAGCAATCTTTAATACAAATTTCTACGCGAAGCTAAACGCAAACAAACGTAAATCACATATTTACAAGGTGTTGCGATACGCGTTGCAAAAAGGGTTTAGTTTGTCAAAAGAATACCGATTAAAACGCGCATTTGCTCCCGGCGCTTCGGAAGATCCAAATTGTAAGATACAATAAAATTTTGCGGCAAATTGTAATAAAAATTATGGAGAGAATCTTGCTGATGAAATCTAAATTCAGGCCAAGTACTGCCGAAATATGCATGATCGATTATTAGTCTGCGTTAATTCAATGCTTGCAGGTGAGAAGTGACATTGCGTGACATTTAATGAAAAATACATGACGCGCTTAAAAGCAACGCTTTTGGAAATTCGTACTAATATAATTTGTGATTGACAGCAACATTGGAATCCACCGGTTCCAAATGATTTCAAATGTAAAAATACACAAGCCTGTTATTCTTACATTGGCCGGGTGAAAATAAAAAAATCTTGCGACGAGCGAATATTTAGCCAATTGCAACCGTGATAAACGATATATTTTATTAATCTCGTATATTTTTCAACGAGACGCACGCCGCGGTACTCCACTTTGTTCCTCCGCTAAGAGTAAAAAGAGCAGCGAAATCGAGATATATGTTTAGTTATAGACTACACGCATCCTATCGTTAAAAAGAATCGTCAGTAGATCTTAGTGCGTATTGTATGTGTCAAAATGATAGATTTATAACAATATGTAATAACGAAAACAATAAAGTATCGTTAAGTATAAGCGCGACACTGTCCACCCTCATCTTCCCCCATCGAGCCTCGTCTCATCTGCCCCGTTTGATTTTTCGTCGATACGGCGATTACGAATTTACATGTAGACAATTAAGGGGTGGAGGCCAGAGGTCGCGTAAACGCACCGGATGTTATCCGGCCGAGGGAAGCGGACGATTCTACTCTCTGCCTCGATTAGGAAAGGACGTTCGTGCGCGCGCGAGATAAGGCGATAACGGGAAAGACGCGAGAGAAGTCGACGGTGAAACGGTAAAGCGGAAACGAGGGACGAGAGGGGGGACGTACAAAGCAATATCTTGTTTACCCGCTTCTCCCGGCGCTGGCAATACGAAGCGGAAGAGAGAAGAGGGCGGGCGACGGTGGAGGAGCGCAGAATGAGTGGATTTTCATTGCAGTTTAATCCCTGTCCCCGTGTCCCCCCCCCCCCACACGAAGACGGTATTCTAAACGGCGATACGAAGGCAACTCTTGTCGCTTGGGGTGACGATATTACATTCCTCGATCGTGACGAAGATAACGGCCGCCGCCGCCGCATCCCGCAGCACTCGGAGCATCGCGCTTGAAACGCGGCTCCTCCTCCACGCCGCGTCTCCGTTTTCCCATCCCTGTCGTACCGTCTCTCTTCCCTACGTTTGCTTTTCTCTCCTATTTCTCCGCGCGCGTCGCCGAGAGAGGAAAATTTACGACGCGGTCTGCGAAAGACTATTAGCGTCTCGCGAGTATGCGCGCTTGCGTGTGCGAATCGAGAGCGGCAAAAATCGCCACGCGCATCGCGCATTTCAAGTGCAAATGCAGCTGAGTCAATTCCGTTCTTTATCTTCTGTTTAGCGTGGCGTAATCAATGCTTCGTGCGCTATTACGGATAATCGTGCGCGAATCAGCATTGTGCAGAAAAGCGCCGCTCCGCGATTAGCTCAATTAATTGATAAGGGAAAGCGATAAAACAAATTATCTCCCGTATCTTTCTGTGCGTGTATGATACTTGATCGCAATTTCAATACGGGAATAAAGTCAAAGTCGCAGTACTGTAGAACTTTGGATTGCCATTTGTCGCGCGATAAGACTATCAAACGTGCTAAATTTTCTGTCAGATAGGCGACTTCTTTTCTCGTTGCGCGCCTTTTCTCCCACGTCCGACAGTCGATTAACACATCTCGTAAATCAGGTCACACGGTTGCAAGTGTTGTACTAGCGTTATTTTTAGATAGGAAAAAAAGGTCGGTATCTACCAAACAATAATCGTGCAACGTGAAACCGGCAAGTTGCAATTTTCATTATGAAATCGTTAGACTTACGAGTGTTACGAGATTTACGTTTAGACCAGCATGATTTATGACGCGTGTACATAAGACTTACACGTGTTCCGAATAACGATGATGCTACAGTTTACAAAAGCAACTATTATTGCATTATCTCAAACACGTTGCACGTAGGTAAACGCTATATCGCGGGACGATAAAATAATTGCGCGTGCGATAAGAGGCTCGAGGAGTCCAGGGTCGAGGAGAGAAAGGAGACCCAGAGGGTAGGTAGATAGACACTAAATCGTAAATAAACATTTACCAATCATTCAATTGTGCTGAAAGAGTTCGACTTAGCGCAATTAATCAACCAGCGATTTCAGACGATTATTTATAACGCTGCAACGTTATCGCGCATGTTGTGTCTTCCAGACGATTACGATCTCAGCGACTTCATTTACATTGCCAAGCTCTTTCAAGCTCTCAGCTAAAGTGAAATCGCTATCTGTAATTAGGCTTTCGAAAAAATTCCTCGTCCTCAAAAAAAATCCGATTAAAATAAGAATATATAAATAGATAACAATCGCTCGTGTTGTATATTTAACAAACAACAAGTAAACGAGGAGGCCAAGATTTACGAGCGTACATTTGATGATATAAGACAGCGGACGCGTTTCAGCACACAGTGCTTTCATCAGCGCATAATTTAGATTGAACAATTAAATAAAACTAGTACACAGTGGTCAATAGATAATGCAGTATTAATTAAATGAACGAACAGAATTTGTCAAAATGTTCAAAACCGTCACTGAGGTCAGTGACCGTAACGGTTGTGGTCAGTGTTTGGTGTAGATGCTAAATCAATTTTGTGATAAGTGCGATAATGGATAAGAATATATAATTCTAGTCTAGTTAAAATGACATCATTACGAATGTAAATTACGTAGAATAGACGCGCACATTTTTAGATTTAATCTTTATCGAGGATCAAGTAAGTTACCAAAGTCAATCTCTTGTTCATCGCATTTCTTTCCGTTCATCAGCAATTACAGCATAATTTCAAAGCTCAGTGTGTACTTTGCTCTATCTTAACTTAACTAAGCTGACAGTAGCGTGCCCGATGCAAATTCTACGGGCGTCCCGTCCTGCTTCTCGTCGTGCGGACAGTAAAGAGCGTAAACCGGCGGACAAGTTACAACCGTCTCGTCTCGTAACGAGCGCGGTAAGTAGGCGCAGTCGGCGGGAAGAAACGGGAGGGGAAGGGAAGCGGTATCGTTGTCACGATCGTGGTTCTTCGCGCGTGCAACACCCCTTTAATCGTCCGTCAAGTGTGTGTGCATTCGGAATGCAATATATCCTGTCGGCCACGTGCCGCTCACGTGCCGCTAAGTGTTTGTTTCGGTTTGCATTGTCACCACGGATACAAGCGCGGCGCCCGTGCCAAAGGCGTGTGCCGGCCCGTACTTACAGGGGAGGGATGCAGAAGGAGGAGGTGAGTCTCGCGTCGTCCCCCTTTCATAACTCTCCTCGCTCAGGGGGTAAATAACGTGCCGGTGGTTGACAATTAGAAACGATGGGAACGAGGTTCATTATGCAAGTGAGAGAGAAAGAGAAGATCCCTCTGATCCGTCGAGCGCATACGTGAAACGCGGAAATATTTTCGACCCGGGTGCACCAATTCTTACTCCCTCCCCCCCCTCGCACCGTCTCTTAGCATCAATCGGGTACACTCGAGCCTCTGTTCGCGTATCAGCCCGTTGCAAATTGGCTCGTTCGAAAATATCGGAGAGAATTCTTAACGACGAGCTACGAGGGAAGAAGCCACCTCTCATTGCTTTACTCTGACTAATTGCAAAATAATGAAACCCGTACGATCGATAGTAAACGTGTTAGGCATACAGAGATGTTGACGACTCAGCAGAAGCCGATAGCATTATGTGAGTTTAGAACCGTGTTGTGCCGTGCAATACGAAATACTGCAAGTACACCGGGAAAAAGTCTTTGAAAATTTATTTGTGACATATAATGTTTATTTCAGTGAAATAAATTCAGTGAATTAAAGTATTCCGAAATTGGTGCTGTTCCAAAATATATTCGCTTACCCTAGTAGTAATCTAATTTGTGATTGTTGTACGTCGTGATCGTTAATGTCCAGATGAGGTTCCAACTTACACTGAGAAAAAAGTCTTCGAAAATTTATTGGTGGCATATTTATTTCAGTGAAATAATTAGTGACATAAAACCAATAAATTTTCAAAGACTTTTTTCTCAGTGTAAGTTGAAACCTTATCTGGAAACTAATATAACGATCACAAATTAGATTGCTACTAGGGTAAGCGAATATATTTTGGAACGGCACCAATTTCGGGATACTTCAATTCGTTTGCGATGCTCTTTGTCATCAAAACGTCAAAATTTGAGATTAAGTGACATTAAATGATGCACGGAAAGAAAAGTGCAGCTGCCGTAGCTAAAAGCTGTATGCGGCAACTAAATTTCAGCTGTAAAATATGGACAGCTAATATTTAGTTGTGACAGCTAAATATTTTGCTACTGTGCCTATATTGTATCAGGTGCGACAGCAAACCGTTTGCTGTGGCTTAGAAATTTATAGTCATGGCAGCGAAATAAGTTCAGCAAACCACGATTAGCTTACGGTAGTGAAAATGTTCTTTTCAGTGTGGCTAAGACGAAAAAGTATTAAAGTGTTCCGAAATATGTTCGCTTCTCCTATTCTTATTTGAAAAAGTGCAAATTATCAATCACAATATGCATCGACTAATCGAGAAGCCGTAGTCTGGGTAGAAACTCGGACAAGTTCGACTACGCCATTGAGCTATCAAAGCGGGACCGAAGAAACGCACAGGATCAGCTGTGCTTGGTTTTACCGCGGAAACTTAGCGCTGAAGAGAAACGATGGAAAGTCTTCTGCGTTGTCGAGGGTAAGCGTGAAGCGAAGAGAGCATTAGCTACGGACACGCGTACATGCACAACACGGTGCTTCAATGTGGTGTGGTGTGGAGTGGTAATAAGTCGCCGGGACGGGGTGTACACACAAGGGAGAGATCTGATAGCCGGCTACTCCGCTTTCTGTCTTCCTGGAGTAGAGAGAGAGAACGAGAGAGAGAGAGAGAGAGAGAGAGGGGAGGGGGGGAGGGAGAGAGAGAGAGAGAGAAGCGGCAGGCAATGACCAATATTATGATAATTCGAGCCTCTCGCGTTTTATCCGTCCGCGTCCTCCTCCGCTTCCTCCGTCTATCCTTCTCGCCACCCTCACGCAGCGAGGAACCGGGTGAGCGCTCGCCCTTCCTCCCGCGCCCCCGGAAGCAAGGGCGGTGGCAGCCATGTTTCGGAGGTGCGGGCGTGGCCTTCCGGTTGCCCGGGGCAACCGGCGTTATCTGGATATCGACCTGGGAGCGACGAGAAGGGTGGCTAGGCTTCTGTCCGGGAGGGAAAATGTTATCACTGCTTTGTGGTGGCTAAGATAGCAACCCGCCCTTCCCCGCCGTTCCTGCCTCACTCTCTCTCTCTCCTCTCCATCCCGTTCTCTCCTCTCCTCTCCCTCGTCCTACCATCGTTGTCCTCTCCCTCTTCCCGGACCCGCCAGCGGATCCTCTTCCCTCCTGCGCTGATCCACCGCGTTGGCCGTCCGCGCGGAAGTCGCAGGATCCATTCCATGTATCCTTGGAATGTGCGGGCACGGGTGGCCCCTATGTCACGAGTGCGTGCGTGCGTGCACGCGTATATA